CCAACATCGGTTGTGCTTTTTGTGTGGACACAGATTGGTGGACGAGCGCAAAACGATGATATTATTGCTTTTAATGCCCTCAACGAAGCGTATAAGTTTCCATCAGGATCGCTCATGTTCGTTATCAATAATATACCACTCAAACGGCCATTTGATTATGAAGCAAAATTTCTTGCCACGCTCACAAACGTGCTAAATCCAATGCCAGTTGCAATGGATGGTACTTTTTTCCTTGATCATGTGGATCTTGAAGACAAAGAGAAAATCAATGAAGCGCATTCGAGGCTCATTTCTTTCATCAGCCATCATCATGCATCCCTGCAACGCAAACATGCTGATATTATTCTACAATCCGATCAGCTCAAAAAAATGCGAGAACTACTCAAGGAACAACAACGGGAGGCTGAAAAGGATCGGGAAGCGTTTCGAAATCAGATCCAGAAAATGACGAAAGAATACCAGATTGCGAAGGAACAGGAGGAGAAGCGATTTCATTTAATGCAAGCCGAACTCGAAGGTGTAAGAATGAATGCTAAGAAAGAGCGAGCAGTAAGTTTATTAGTGCAAGCACCATTAATTTCATTAAAGTATTGCATGCTTTTAGGCTCAAGCGGAGGAGCGACGAAAATTGGAAAAACAACAGCGAGAACAATATGCACAACATCAACAACAGCTAGCAGTAAGTTTATTACTGTAAGCACGATTGATTTCATTAAGTTATTCTGTGATTTTAGGCTGAAGCGGAGAAACGACAAAAATTGGAAAAACAACAGCAAGAACAATATGCTCAACATCAACAACAGCTAGCAGTAAGTTTATTACTGTAAGCAGGATTGATTTCATTAAAGTATTGCATGATCTTAGACTGAAGCCGAGGAGCGACGAAAGTTGCAAAAACAACAGCGAGAACAACATGCACAACATCAACAACAGCTGGCAGTAAGTTTACTACTGTAAGCACGATTGATTTCATTAAGGTATTGTGTGATTTTAGGCTCAAGCGGAGGAGCGACGAAAACTGGAAAAACAGCAGCGAGAACAATATGCACACCATCAACAACAGCTGGCAGTAAGTTTATTACTGTAAGCACGATTGATTTCATTAAGGTATTGTGTGATTTTAGGCTCAAGCGGAGGAGCGACGAAAACTGGAAAAACAGCAGCGAGAACAATATGCACACCATCAACAACAGCTGGCAGTAAGTTTACTACTGTAAGTACGATTGATTTCATTAAGGTATTGCATCATTTTAGGCTGAAGCGGAGAAACGACAAAAATTGGAAAAACAACAGCTAGAACAATATGCACAATATCAACAACAATATACACAACATCAACAACAGCTAGCAGTAAGTTTATTACTGTAAGCACGATTGATTTCATTAAGTTATTGTGTGATTTTAGGCTCAAGCGGAGGAGCGACGAAAACTGGAAAAACAGCAGCGAGAACAATATGCACAACATCAACAACAGCTGGCAGTAAGTTTACTACTGTAAGCACGATTGATTTCATTAAGGTATTGCATGATTTTAGGCTGAAGCGGAGAAACGACAAAAATTGGAAAAACAACAGCTAGAACAATATGCACAATATCAACAACAATATACACAACATCAACTACAGCTAGCAGTAAGTTTATTACTGTAAGCACGATTGATTTCATTAAGTTATTGTGTGATTTTAGGCTGAAGCCAAGGAGCGAAAACAAAAAGGGGATATTTCTGTTCGTCTTGCTACTGATGTTGTTGCTGCTCCTGTTTCTACTGTTGTTGGTGCTGTTCGTGGTACTGTTACTGGTGTTAAAACTATTGTTGATCCTTTAAGTGAATTTATTGCCGATTCTGATCATAAAGCTATTCTTCGTGCTGCAGCTGTTCCTGTTGCTGTTGCTGGTGGTATTGTTGGCGGTGCTCTTTCTGGCGGTGCTTTAAACGTGATAAAGTTATCTTACCTTCTTCATCGGAAATTGTGTAAAGATTGAATTGCAAGTAAAATGTATTAAAATAAAATATTTCTAGGCACTTACTAAACCTTAGAACCACTCCCACAAAAAAGTTGGTCGAATCAAATTTGATTAAGTGTCTACTGCATCTGACATATATTATAGATCGTAGTTTTGGATCTTTCTCTCTTAGTTTCACAATTCCTCAAGACTAGAAATGTTTCAGCAAAGCTAGAATCCTCATCGTAGTCGAAATTTTGAAGCCCGTGAAATTCTCTGTCGAATGATATATAAAGTGGCGTGTTTAATGATTAACTCTCTGGACAATATAAGCGATGAACGCTGTTGACTTTTGGATTTGCGGAGGTCGGGGCTAGTATTTCTAGTGTTAGGACATCCACGCTCCATTCGTTCTCAATATTATATATATCATTTTGTAGCTCGCAAAATTCTCTATCGTATGATGTACAGTAGTTGATGTTTGCTTTGGACAGAGAGAAGAAATGGGGAAAATATTCTAAATAAAGTTCATTTAACGGGAGAAAAGCTTGGATGTGGAATTTTTGCCAGGGGGCTGAAAATGGTTTTTTTGAGATGCTAGTTTTAATCACGGAGGTAGACTACATCAAACTGCAGTTTGTATGTGGAGTAGTGGTGTGGGGCGTCATTATTTCTCGTTCGAATAAAGGAATCGGTATCTCTGGGACGTGGTAAGTGGTGAAGATTAAACTTGCACCAGAGCAAGACTGCTATTTCGAGTAGCCATAGTATAAATATGAGCTTTTATCACAGCTGGTTATCGATTTTACTGTCACTCGTCACAATTTTTTTTTCACAACTCTTTTGAGATTTTTCATTGCTCACTAGGATCTATCTTACATAATAGTTTGAGTGCAAAAACGAGTTATCACCTCGAGAGGTTCCCTCGTTAGCACCCATTCTTGCCAATATATTTATGTGTTATC